TTTTAAATTAGTATGAAAAATTGGTAAGCCACAGCTTGTTAGTTTCTTTTTGAGTTTTTGGTGTTAGTAATCTTGCTGTGTTCCATGTTTTTAAAAATGGTTTGCTTCAATATATTCAATTTCAGGTAGTAAAGGCAACTAGGAGCATTGCTTAAATAATATACCCAAAACAAAATAGATAACTTGTTTATAGATACATCAGATCTCTTATTTGGTCAGTTAGAGTAAAGACTAAAGAGGAACTTTCTTTTCTTAGAACGTCTGGTATGACTTTCAGCATGTGACTTGGTTAACTAGTAGAATCCTAAATTGATTAATTGAGGGGAATTAAATATTATATGGACTACTCCACCTATTGCCTATTGTGGTTTTAGGCTGGATTCTCACTTTTCGTTGTTTTTAGTTCTGACCAAAATAAAAGGCGTTATGCTCAAGCTTGCTGCTTGCAGCATCTTTATGTGTTTAACTTCTTGAAAGTTCTTATGCAATGTGTTGTCTTAGATATTTCATTTCTTAATGTAGTTATGTCTTCCGATGTCATCCAAAGTCAAAGGATGGAAGATACTATCTAGCACCAGTGAATGACATTGCCTTCAACCCACTGTATGTGCACTTTAACCAGCAGCTTACTCTCATAGATTATATAAACTAATGCACTTACGTGGTCTTTATCAATTTAGCATCACTGGAGCTCTTGTTACTGGTGATAATGAGGGCTACGTTATTGCATGGGATGGCAAAAACAGAAAAAGATTATTTGAGGTAAATTTTATCTGCTATTGTGATAGTTTTTTTTGGCAGAGTATGCATTCAAAATGATTGTGGTGTTAATAATCTTTGCTAGTGAAGATGTTTAAGTTCATAATATTGTCTTAGGATTAAAAGTAATAAATGACAGAAATTCAGAGAAAAATACCGAAGGTTATGTGGTTCAGTTAGGCCAACTGCCTTAGCTCAGGCTAAAGAGAGAGATGGCATTTACCAATTAAGAAAGGAATCACAAGATTTATGCATATAAAATCACTAAAAAATGCACTCCCGTGGGAGCGCCCAATGCAAGCATCTCACACACAAATTTTGGATGTTGGTTACATTCTTATGGTCAAAGTAGCATCCTAAGTAGGTTTTTTGGCCACAACCCTAAGGAGGTTGATAAATTGTATTTATAGTCTAGGGTTAAAACAGTGGAAAACAGTGTGCAAGTATGAATTAACTCTCTTACTGGACCCTGTTATTGAAACTCTTAACTTCCAAGAGGCTTTTGTCTAGGGGAGTTCCTCGAGTCAAATATCTTTTCCCCATGACATTCTGCCAATATCAAAAGTAACTCCAAAATCAACCACTCAGATGCTCTTAAAGTTCAAGCAAAGCGAGGCATACTCAAATCATAAAAGGACTGTCTAAAAAATAGTTAACTCATGTTAACCTACTGGAATTAGATTACCAGCAAAGATAAAGTATCCTAACAGACATAATTTGAGTTAATGTGCATTTTCATGTTTTTCTTATCTCCTAATGACCCTCATTGGCTTGTATTCTGTCATAAAATAACTGTCATTTTTTTGACTTTTTCTCCAAATAAGGATTTGGGGACAATTTTTGTACTTACCTATATTAACCTTAGAAAAAGCTTAAAGATAAGCGTAAAGATAAAGTGAGACTTTTTGTGATAGACTGATAGGATAATTAATCAAAGTAAATGGATAACGATAGGGTCAAAGTAAGAAAAAAATATTTGTCTAGTCTAAAAAATGAAAAAACAACAATTAATTTGGGATAAATTCAAAGTCAAAAAACAATAATTATCATGGAACAAAGGGAGTATGCTTTGAAGAAGGTATGTATGGTACTTTTGTATGAATAGGAAATGGATGTGCAATGCTATGATATTTTGGTCTCGATTTTGAATACGATCAACTTTGACAACAATATAATGAAGTTTTACATCATCATGTGTTTTTTCTACCTTCACATTATGCTTGCTTGCACCCTGATGTCTAATACTCCTCTATTTAGTTAATGTTTTCCTTATCTTTTAGTTGCCTAGGTTCTCCAAGAGCGTAGCATCTGTAACATACAACCGTGATGGAGATCTTTTGGCTGTTGCATCAGGCTACACTTACCAAGAAGCCAATGAAACGTGAGTTCTTCAGTTATACTACATCCTTATCTGGTCTGTTATGTTCTTTTTCAGTAAGTACCTATAAATTGACACGATAAACTTACTGCATTTTGGAAAAATATCACGTAACTCCATTTTATCAAATCTAAAAGAACTGTTATCTTGAGTCCGTTTTTTGGGTATGGTCTTTTGATTTGTGTAGCCGATCTCCTTATTTAACCACACTGATGAGAACCCTAAAGAGAATAATGAGACCCACAGAGCACGATAAGGGATTTTTAAATTTCAGGAAAGCCAAATCAGGGTTTATAATAGGAAATTGACCTATTGTTTATGTCGCAACAAGAACCAAAGGTAAAAAACTTGATCTGTTGTTTATGACGCAACAAGAACCAGAGGTATAAAGTTGGTTGACGTCACACCCTTGAACGATTAAGAATGAGAATAATAAGTCAAGCTAGAATGTCACAACAATAATCTTGATAAGTTCTGTAAAGTTTGAAACGAACTAAAAAGAAAAATCTCTCAAAAACTCCGATTCAATAGCCCTCTCAATTAGGTTATAAGCCCTTTTAAATAAGGAAAAGTAATTTTAATCAGAATAGGAAACTAACACCTTAAACTCTAATCTTAATAACCACGAATTGGGTGTTAAATAAATAAATGTTCAGTCCAAAATAATACAAAAAATGTGAAAATCACTTAAAGTAATGTTACAAATTGTGACAGAATTGCGAGATTTTGATGTAAATTGTGTAATTTAGCATAAATTACCTCAATTAAGCTTCTCTTGAATCTAAATGATGTTTACCATGTTTTGATAATCATCCAAGCTTTGATTTACTTGTTGCATGTTGTTATCAACCCAGATTTGCTCAATAAGACCATTTAAAGCTTCTCGCATCTTCTTAGCTCGAGCTCTCGTGACTGGATCTCCTGGAACGTGTAATGGATCTCTTGACGTGGCACATGTGGGGTCATCTTGACTCCCATCACACACACAGAGGTGGATCATGAAAACTACCTTGGCTGTGAGGGTTGATCTCTGCTAGGTTAGGATTGAGTTCACATAGAACTCAATCACAAAATCTCCAAAATTTAAACCTAAGTAGGTTTCTGTAGACCTTAACAACCAATCTTAAATGGAAATAAGATTTTCAGCTTGCTGTCAATATGCAATAGAATGAGAAGGAAACACAAACCAGCAATATATAGTGTGCATTTGGGATTTATATGAAGTGCTATGGTTGTGGTTGCTTCTATGCTTTGCTATCATAAAAGCATGTTAATATTTGATAGTTATTTTTTGAAGTGTTGCACATCTGTATAATTACCAAGATATACAAAATATTCATTAAAATCAATTCAATTACAACAAATTAATATTTTTCGTAGTACAGAAATGCACTATGATCTGTGAAGCTAGATCCAAATGCACCCTTTCTTGGCTTTGGTATACATCATTTACAACAACCTTGCCTAAATCTTTAGGGTATTGTGTCCAATTTAACCCCTTGCTGTCACCTATAATCTGCATCTTTTTGACTGGGTTCATTGACAATGTTGAAAATGTACTGGGTCTTCTGCTATTAATGGCTTTTGTCCGAGACTCTGTCCAGACTGTTTGATATTCCACAACATGAGTACCACTCTTTGCTGCCCATTAAATTTCATGCTCTTATTTTTTTTATTTTGTGCTTATTCTCAAATCAGTTTGGTCTTTGTGTGCCTCCCTTATTGCACCGATATTGCTTCTCTTTGATAAATATTTGATTTCATTCAATGTCACCAAACCATCTTAAGCTAATGGTTTGCTGTTATCTTAATCATCTGCAAGTTCCATGGTTAATACTGCTTCTTCTGCTTGCTTGTCTCAACTTCATCGCTAGCATTTGCCTCTTTGGTTTACGTGATATCTTGTGGTTCACTGTATAGATACTAACATCAAACATTACTTAATTTCATTGTCACATTGCATGCCTTAATTGTTTGATGATCATGTTATGAAAGTAAGTAATGGCAGCCTTTATCTAGGTTTGTTAATTTGCTTGTGTTTATTTTGTGTATGACAGAGAAGAGCCTCCTCAAATATCCGTGCATAAAATGGATGACAGTTATGATAGATCGGTTTCTGCTGGAAATTCAAGGTAGGGAATGACTGAACAAGTTGAGTGATTGTAATGACCCTCATTGCCCTTCAGCAGAAGATCATGTACATGAAAGTTTCATAGTTTGGGGGGGAGGGAGGATGGGATATTTAACAATTCTCCAAATTTTTGTATAAATTGAAATTCATTTCACAGAATGCAAGAAATTTTGGTACCCTTTGTAACAAATATTGATTTTCAAACTTTAAAGTGCTCTCCCAAACGGCCTCTTAAGCCACCTCTGCATAGTTTGGTGTCCTCTTTGAATAAAGGGCATGAGTTGTGACAATTGACGACTTCTGTGCAGGCTGGTTATACTTGGCTCCATGATACTTTTCCAACAAGAACTTGATAATGCTCCTTTATTAATTATATATGCAGTTGGTTGCCTTTTATTTATTCATTTATTATTTTATTTTATTTTATTTTATTTTTTTATGAGCAAAGGTTAGATCTATTCCATGCCAGCACAGAAGGTGCTTCAATCCCACACAACTAAGAACACCACAATCAAACATCTATCATGCCGGTACAACATGCTCTCAAAAGACACGAGATGACAAATGCCCTCTAATCTGCAGTTGGTTAGAAGAGCACTGTTATAAAAGTTATACTGTTATTCGGGAGAATTATACATATTATGATGCCTGCCAATTTGGTCTATATCTACTAAAGAAAAAAAAATCATTCCAGATAATTTATTTGCAGTTGAGAGATAATACTTACAAAATAACATGTAATAATTAGAAACTTTGCACAAATTTACAATAAACACTATACTTCTTTTAAAGTGTACAGGTTTCCTCCTCATGACTTGTTGCCTCGATGGACTGAAGGCCTTCCCAAGTTTCTAGCTAGAACTAACATTCATACAGCGCGAGCTAGTTTCTGGTTAACAGTTTACTTAGATAGTTCGCATGTACTTGTTTATGGAATAAAACTGCTTATGCTATTCCATTAAGTACATTCTCCTCATAGCCTATCTGCCAACTGAGGAAATTGTTGCAGCAACCATGTTACCCCCCTGATAGCAACCTGTATGCAAAGGAAAGAAAGAACCATAATGGATCAAAAACTATTGATGGTATATGATTTCAAGCCTTAAACAATAAAGAAAAGGGAAGATGATACATGGTAGAATTTACTTCTGAGATGTTTGAATTTCTTTGTTTTTCCAATTTTGGGAGGTAAAAATGTTTGATTTGCTTGGCATGTAAAAGAAAGATGTGCGTGTGTGTGTGTGCAGGTGATGGATTCAGAGGCTGATTCTACAAACCAAAGCTGCCTCCCCAGGTTTGATTGCAGGTTCAACGGCATCTCGTCCATAACTGTTCAAAAGAAATGGTTTCCAGATCAACTTATGTGGTAATAGTCCAGAGCCTCAAAGAAAAAAACATAAAAGTCATTCAATTGAGGGTGTTCAGCAAAGCTTAAAAAGTATTTGATTAAAATGTAAATTCTTCTCTCACATATTTAAAATTTTGTTGAAGAGAAATTCAAAATTCAAAATTTAGCTTTTAAAGTGGATTTTAAGCAAGTTTTGAGAAAACTACACATCTAAGCTTTCTCTAAGCTTGCTTAACAACACCTTTAAAAGCCAATTTTTAACTATCCCACCAACAAAATTTCAAATTTATAAGAGAAGAATTTGCTTTTAAAGAAAGTGCTTTTTAAGCTTTACCAAACACGCCATAAGAATGTTTCATTGTTGAGACAAGTTAGGAGGGCACATTGCAACAAGAATGGTACATAACATAAGGAAACTTAAAAGTTCAAAGTCAAGGTTTGATTGCATACTATGATGTCCTAATGTTTCACTTACATGATCTGCCTTTTGCCATCAATTACCTCCAGCCGATAAAAGCTGCAACCTTTGCTAAAAGGAAAAGACCTTCCCTTCCATTCTGTGATCATCCTCCAAGATTAGTTCTTTTTGAAAATTTTAATTCAGCAAAGAACTTTGGTAAATTTTTGCTGAAAAGAATGTGTAAGAAATATAACTTCAGGGAACTTACGTAATTAGAATGGGTTTTTTTAGAGTAAACTGCACTTAAAAACATTTGAAGTTTTGTAAAGAAAAAAATTCCATTAATGAACTTTACCTTTATGCTTCCTAATTCATTAAATGTCTTCCAACCCTTAACAGATGGTTTTAAGTAGTGGATTGTAAAAAACATTGCAGTTATTTATCAATAAGGAAGAAGTTGCAAGTATATTCTGCAATGTACCTAGATGCCATGTGACACCAACTGCCGAAGAATCCTGTGAAGAGATATCATCAATTACAAACTTGAGTTCAGTGCTGATAGAATCAAACTTTTTGAAGAATTCAAGGATTGCCTGCAACATAATAAGTGGGAAAATCCATCGACCAATGAAAGAAGAATTAAGAATAATTATTGAAAGAATAATATGTACCAAAAAAAAAATTATTGAAAGAATAATGTGCAGTATGAACTATGTCAAGTTGTTCGTTCATAAACTACTAGATTGGAGATGGGTTTAATAATGGCAAAAACCCTTTTTAAGCCCTCAAACTTATCCCAAAATAGCATTTAAGCCTTTAAATTAAAAATAAAGCAAATAAGACCTCTAATTCCACTAATGATGCAAATAAGCCATTCTCATTCATGGCTATTCATGCTTTAAGGTGATATTAAATATGAAATACCATTTTTGAAAAGAATTTATTCGTATCATTGGTGGAGTTCGAGGGATTATCCACTTCATATTTAGTTTAGAGGTTTAAATGTAATTTTAGGATAAGTTTAAAGGCTTAAGAAGGGTTTTTGCCTTTCATAATTAGAAAAAGTTTCTGTGCAGTTTACTGTTGAATAGGGAGGTCCCAATATGAGTCCATTTACATTTGTTGTCAGTGTTACATCATTCAAATTATATTATGGGTGTATTTGGTGTAATTTCTCAAATGCTTCAATTTTTTGATACTATTTATATTTTATAAGTTAAAAATTTTCTCTTAAAAACTTACATTTTTAAATATTTTTTTAACTTTAAAAAGACTTTAAACAGTAAATGATCAAAAAGTTTCAAATTCAAATTTTTTATAAACTTTTTTTTACTCACTTTTTACTTATTTTTTCTATCTCTAAAAGCAACTTTTTAATTTTTCTTCCAATAAAAATTTAAATTTATAATTAATAAAGAGTACTCTAAAAGTAAAAATCCAACAAGTTGCACCAAAACAAGCCCTATATTATATAACACTAATAATTGAATAAAAGTTATCTTAATATTGGTGGTTTCCCTAGTTAATAGTTTTTGTTTCATACTTTACTATAAATTGGAAAATAAACTTCCCTTAATAGGATTAGTGGGTGTCCCACGTAATAATTTATGTTATGCATAATGATATAATCTAGATGGTAAAAGTAAAACACAATACTCCTAAAAAATATTGGGCATAACTAACAGCTCAGGTGACGTGCACGTGCTAACCTTGCGACCAACGAATGGAGCAGGGAAGATGAGGTCCTCGTACACACATTTCTCGGCAATAAGGTTCTCCACAGATGCAAGATCATGGTCGTTGACTCCTCTGTAGAAGCTCCGAACAACGTCGGCTGCCGATTCCATAGTTTCCTCGACATCCTGTGATGGGACGACCACCGTTGTCTGATTGCCAGACGATGAGAACATGATCAGTGTCTGTGGGACGCGAGATCCCCTCATGGTTCTTGAGGGGATTGTAGGGATAACAGAAGTATGGAGCAGTGCTGCCGTGCGAGGAGAAGCTTTGTTGCTGAAGAGTGAGAGAGGTGATGCAGGAGAGGTGAGAGGTGATATCGTAGAGTTGAGGAGCATGGTTGTTGATGGATGGCAATGTAAGGATTGATTATGCATTGCTGAACGCTGACCATAATTTTGTTAAGGTTAAAATGCCAATTTGGTCCCTCAACTTTTAGAATTGAACTAAAATGATCCTTTAAATTCAAAAAATATTAAAATCATCCCTCAATTTTAATTTTTAATATAAAAAGTTTTTCTGTTAATAAAAATGTCACGTAATTTATTATTTTATCATAAATTAGTTCTTTTTAAACTATTAATGACATGTAAAATTAAACAGTTATATTTGCACTTGTAACATAATTTTATTAATGTATCATATTGATATATAATTAAAGTTAAAAAACTAAATTGATATTTATAAATAAAATTTAAAGACTAAATTGATAGTTGGCTTTAAAGTTTAAGAACTAAATTAATATTATTTCTAAAGTTTGAGAACTATTTTAGCACTAAAAATTAAAATTTAAGGATAATTTTGATATTTTTTAAAATTAAAAATAATTTTAATATAAATCTAAAA